CCTGGTGTGTGAAACGGTCAGGGCTCTCTATATATTTAAAAGAAGCAAACCAATGGTGAAGTGTGACTGACTGGCCTACCTGTAACAGTCAACCTGTGTAAGAAATTTTGTGAAGAGCAGTAGTGTCAATGAGTAGGGGGTCGCACAAATATTAACAAAATAACCAAGCATAATTCTTTTTTAAATTAAAACAAAATACTATTTCAGCTTTGTGGAAGAAATCAGACCACACCATAGGAAAGACTGCATCCAACCGAATTTTATTCCGGTTTATGGTGGCGTGCTGAGCAGTCGCACCTCCCAGGGGTGAAGCTGCGCTCTGGCCGAAGGAGGAGGTGCGCAGGATTGTCACCCCCCCAGAGACCCAGCTGAAGGGGCTATGGCCATGGTACTCTCGAGGGGTTGCCTCTTCGCCGGTGCGATGCCAGGGAATTGAGGCGCCTCTCCGTCCCGAAGGTTCTTCGTGCTATGAGACCGAATGGAACCAAGCGACGCTGACCGGGGCAAGCGCAGGAGGTCGAGCGAAAGAAACAGAGCTTAAACGAGGTCTGAGGACCAACTATGAATGTGAGTTCAATCTAAGCACTTAAATAAAAGGAAAAGAAAGCCCCCATGGGCGAGCAAGGGAGGGACGCCTCCCAAACGCATGTACTTAAAAGTGAATTGGAGGGGGGGAGTGGAAGAAAAAGCGAATAAAACTGTTAAGAAAGACTTACCAAGGCGAGTTCAAGCATACAAGCACATATTCAGAGACTTTTAAAATATCGGTTAAAGTAAACAATCCACAAAGATGGCGGGGAAGAGGACGGAGAAAGAGAAACTTTTAAAAGTGAAAGGGACTGAGAGCCCAAGACCGGAAGCAACCAGCGAGCTGGCAAAGACATTGGCGGAATCCATGCGCCCTCTGCTGGACAAGATGAATAATCTCAAGCAGCAGCTGTCAACAATGAATCAATGTATCATCACCCAGCAAACACAGTTGAGTGAGACACTTAAAATGATTAATCAAACAGCTGAGAAGGTGAAAGAAGTGGACGCCACTGCACAAAAGGCGAAGAAGAAAGTACAAAAGCTGGAAAAGAAGCAAATCTCCACGGAAGATCAGCTGTTACAACTACAAATGGAAAAAGCTAATTTGATTCTTCACTTTCAGGGCCTTCCAGAGACTAAAGGAGAGAATCTGAAGGAGAAGATGAGTGAATTATTGGCCCCAATGA